AAATAGCTTAAGGGTTTATCGCGTGACAAATCAACGTTTGATGAGCTGAAAACATTTGCAAAACACTTTCCTCCCATTTTAATGGAAGTTGTTTCGAATTGTAACGTCATTCCGCATTTTTTGCTTATAAGAAGATTTGGCTAAAAACCAGCCCTTTGTAACTACCGTTTGTACCCACGATTATTCATATCCTTACATCCACAAAGTTTGATTTAAACACAACAACAAACATATGATTTAAACTTATATTATCTTTACAGTAACAAAATATGTTTTGAACCTACTTTCCCATTAAATTAATTTTTGAAGCAGGGAATCACTTAATAGATGGTCAATATTAGTACATTCTGATGGGGTACCTATATCTGTTGAACAATGCCATGCTGTTTTCCTATAAAGTTTTTTAACATTGTAATTCGAAGAAGACAGAAAATTTGTTTCTAACAAGAAACGAATTAAGAAGCGACATATGCACTCTCTCAGAATAAATCTTTATGCAAGTAGACTCAAACGGGGTGGACTTGTCTACGTCTAGATATTACTGAAGACAATATTTTTCTGAAGAGTGAATGATGTGATTTTTTATAAACGGTAAAGTTAGAGGATTAAACAAGCTAGCAACAGGATTGCTACAAAAAACTCTGAATGAGCTTTCCGACTCTTTATGGTCAGAAATGTTGTTGAGGGCAGGATGAAAAATGCAGGCAAGTCTTTCTTCCCACAGTCCCGCAGAATCCGTAGATTGTATTGGTCGGGTTCCTTCATCGTTTAAAGCAGCGTCGTGTATATTCAATCAAGAGCAAACTAGCTTACGAAAACACACGTTCTCAGGAGTAAAACATCACAAACAAGGTGTAAAATACCCAATGAGATAACCAGGCAACGCTTGGGTAACGGGCCGACGACCGAAAAATGAAATCGCGCTGTTCCCACTGCTCACAAGCCATGAAGCGTTATTACTGCTCGCTGTGGAATGCAAGGAACCAGTTAGCTTCGAACCGACAATAGCAAAAAATTGCGAATCCGAGGCAAAAAAATGCGGAAATAAGTAGTTAAATTGCCTGATTTACAAAAACAAAGCACGGATAAAATATAAATATCAGACAGACCCAAATATGAGTAGAGTGCGTGAAGTAGCCTCACTAATTGAAAAATTGTGTGCAACAAGAGTAGAAATAGTTTTGAGCAGTTATTGTAGTGAGTTGGTAGTTGGAGTAGGAAAGGCGAAACCGCGAATCACAATCGTCTCAGTAGCCAAAATTCTGGCGAAATACATTAGTACCATAGATCTTGATGCAATTCTAGAATACCAGCTGTAGAACACACAATTTCAAGGCATCATTCACATCCTGTGCATCTCTGGGATAAATAAGGTCCATTGGTAGGAAACGCAGTCTAAAATTTAAAAACCAACATTAGGAGATGAAACTGATAATACTTGAGAACAACAATTATTAACATCACTCATCTTCCACTTAAGGAACCATCCATACGAATCGTTGTATATTTCCACGATGCAATTAGCTCTTGATAATTTTTTTCCAATCAAAATTAAATTACGTGCACTTTGGTGCAGTGTACAGCATGGGGCATTGGTGAAGAAGCGGGAACATTATTGAATAAAGCGACTGGAGAGCAGTCCGTGCTGTTCATGTAATACTCTCCGTTATCCTCTAGAAATTGAGGTAGCCATTGAAGACAGAACATTAGTTTTAATATAAAGGGCTATTTCGCTCTAAATCGTTGATCAATAATTTAATATATCCTCTAGCAAACCTTCTTAAGGTGTACGCAATCGACAACTTTTATTCATAAATCATATTACTTTGCCGCGATGGCCCTCAAGAAAATTGGAGAGAATACCATGTAGATGATTATTTTTCAAAGTTAAATAGTTCATATAATTTTTACATTCAATGAGCAATTCTTTGTACCTCTACATATCTCATACAGATTATGACCATTTTAATGTATTTCATTTTGGGAGATGTGCCGAGCAAAGAACAATACGTTCTTACAAAAAGTGATTTAAACATGTTTGTTTCAATCTAGGACTGACTTCTATAGTTGACTAATTTCCCATTTTAAGCTGATTTTCGCTATTTATTGACACAAGAAATAATAATTATGTTGCCAAAACACTACCATTAAATAAAAGAAAATTGTATTTACTAAATGGCAATAAAATATAAAACCCAAATTTCAAAATCTTATTAATGCCCCAAAAATTGGAGGACTTTTGCACTCAAATGGTCACACCTATTTACAACACTGTATGTATTGATTGATTATAATGATTATTCCATTCGACTCTCGCTACAACTGGAATATATTCCTAATAAATTATAATAACATTAATATTATCAATAATATAAAATAGCTATATCACCATATTAAATATGATAAATTGTTGTTCAGTAGTGTTTAAGAAATTGTACTATAGTAACGATTTTGAATTATTAGCCAGCAAATTACTGCAAAATCGTTTTTTTTTTTCAAATCTTATATATCTGGCGGTACAAGAAGAGCCAATGTCAGTTTTTATGATTATCGGATTGTATGGCCAATGTGTGCCTTACAGTCTCTTCTTTCAGTGTAAGAAAGGCCAAAGTCAAAACTCGACTATATCTCCTAATTATACGTTAATTTATTGGCCTACAATTGTTTTGTCATTTTGATGTGTAAAAAAAAATTACCCATTCTGTAAAACTTTGATTACTGACAATGATCCTTCTAGCACCAAGCACCAGATATATAATCATAATCACGAGGTTTGATATAATAATTTAAATATTTAGAAAATAATGTTATTATTATTATTATAGCTGATTAACCGGCTGTTTATATAACAAATGTGGTTGTTCGGTTATTAATGTGTCAAACTCATTTACTACGCAGCCTCGCCCGTTCTGTCCATCCTTCCCATCCTACCAACCCGTCCTGCCCGCACCACCCGCGCCACCCGCACCGCCTCGCATCGCCCTTCAAAGACTAGATCAATGCCTCTCGCCGCTAACAATCCACCACCTCGCGGGTTTACAGTAAAAATTTGGGGTTGTAGCGAAATTTTGGGTAATATTTCGGAATCGCTGTCCCCTTATGGTTTCGCTCGACCGCTCCGAAGTCTTCCTGCAGAATTTTGGGTCAGTCCCTTAAGTAGTACTGAAATAATCGAGAAACGTACCTCTACACGTAGGTACACACAGATCCAATTTTATATTATTATTATTATCATTATTATGAACATCATCATTATAAAATGTTTCATAGCTAACGGTAACGTTTACCAAAACACCAATAATTAATCATGATTGAAAATAAAACCCGCTGCTCCCATTTCAA